AATTTGAAGTTATTTAGATAATTCAGTATTAGATAACATCTGTGAATTATCTTATGAAAACTATTGAGTTAAAAAATTTTCATATAGATTTTGTTCAGGCTTAGAGTCTGAGAAGGTATTAATGAAATTATTTTAATCTTCTTGTTAATTGGAGTCTTTGTTTTTGTCAGCTTGAAGGATACTTAGATAAGATGTGATTAAAGAGCAAAACAAACATTTTATCCTGGTTCCTCTTTTATTTTGCATTCCACCTCCCATATCTTGACTAAAGGAGCATGATTGATTTTTCTAATGTTTGTTGTGTGTGGGTTATGCTGTGTGTGAGAGAGAGAGGAACAAAATCTGGGTAATAGCTTTTTTTCATCTTTATGTTTCCTCTTTTTTAGTTTTTATTTTTATTTTTATTTTTATTCTTATTTTGGTGGGGGAGGGGGGATTTTATGTGGCAATCCTTTATGGTCACCAAGAAGGCATGATATATTTTTACAAGTTTTCATCCTAGGTTGGGAGGGAAATATCTAATTAAAGATTTTTGGATGATATGCTGTTTCCCTCCAAGGATGTTATCTAAGAGATAAATTCAACCTTTTTTGTGTAATTATGTCTTCAATTATTAAATTCCTTCTGCAAGTCATTTTTCAAGTTTTAGGCATTACTTATATAGTTATATATGTTTTTTTTAAGCTTAATTTAAGTTGCATGCATATTTTGCTTTCTAAATTACTTTGCAAATATCCCTCTTGAACGCAAAAGCATTTCTTTTGACTTTTTAATTCTTTTGCAATCTGAAGATTCTGTGACTGTTCAAGTTAAGCTCTTATGCCTTGTGTTAAGCACTTGTACAAACTCATCCTTAATTTTCTCTTCTAGCTGTTTGCTTGTACTATTTTTAAAAAGTTGCCAATGTTTTGATTTAGATACGCATGCCTGAATTGACTTCTTTTACAGGTTAAGGAAGGTGGCTATGACTACAAGGTTAACGAAACTGTCAATGTTGTCACTGCAAAGACAACAGAAATTGGTCAGAAGACATGGGGGATCATGAAAGGGGTCATGACACTTGCCAGCCAGAAGGTTGAGGAGTACACTAAAGATGGCATGAACTGGAAGAATGATAATTGGCAACCTGAGAATGAGAAGAATGGTTATTATCAAGAGTTCAATAAACAGGAGAATAATAGAGGATGGAATTCTACTTCTGGGGAGCAGTCCATTACCAGTGGCAATTACTCTTCTAGAGGGAATAACAACTCTTATGGCTCGAGTTCTTGGGATGATTGGGACACTAAAGACAATAGAAAAGAAGATACCAAAAAGGGTAGTGGGAACTACACTTCTAGTGGGAATAGCAACTCTTATGGCTCAAGTTCTTGGGATGATTGGGAGACTAAGGACAACAGAAAAGAAGATATCAATAAGGGTCGTGGGAGCTATGCTTCTAGTGGGAATAACAACTCTTATAGCTCAAGTTCATGGGATGATTGGGACCTTAAAGACAATAGAAAGGGAGATTCTATAAAGGGAACTGTTTCCCATAGCAATGATGGTTGGGCTGGATGGGATGATGCCAAGGACGATGGATATGGTAACTTCTACCAAAGTCCACCTGATAAGAAAGCTGTTGGTCACAATGGGAAATCAGATTCAACATGGACGGGTGGAGGCTTTCTCTAAGGTTAATCTATCATATCTTTAACCCCTTTAGTATTTTCATTTGGCTTAGAGTTCATTTTAGTTGTGGGAAGTGGATAGAAAAGTTTATTTAGCAAGTTTATTTAGCATATCTTGTGTATGTGTGTGTTTGTTTAGATTTTGAACAAAGGAAGGCAAGAAGAGAAGATTGGTGGAGTAATAGATAAATTATCTCCACCATTAGTTGTAATTATTTACTGTTTCAAAATTCAATTATATCATAACCCTAGATAATATCACGTAAGATTTAAATGAGCCCAATTGAGTAAATATGTAACATAAAGAAGTATAACTTCTTTTTCCTTATCAACTAGGGAAAGGACGGAGAAATTGCCACTCATAATCTCTTAATGTTTGTTTCGTAACTTAATTTGTAAACTTTTATTTTCTCCTTCCCTCATCTTTTCATAACTTAGGTTGCAAAACTTGTCTCCTTTTACTTTTTATCTCATTGGAATACACAGCATGGTTAGTGTGTGTATGTTCCTTTTTTTTTTTTTTTGTGAGAAATGTTTACATGATGGAAATATATTATCTAACTGTGACCAGGTTGAATGTTATCACCGTCATCAGAGCCTGGGATTATACACAAATGGTATTTAGTAGCCACAAATGGCAGCTTACTTGCTGGGTAATGCCAAGCTTGAGGGGTGAAACAATTTTTACCAGTGTGGGTGATCAGAGAATCGGGATCTCAGATAGAGGGAAGGTTGTTTTTGTGGAGGTCAGAAACTCTTTTTCCTTTTTATCTTAAAATTTTTTATGTAATTTCTTGGGAAAGGTCTGATGTGTTTGATGATAGTATATTTGTAAAACTTTGAACATAGAGGGCTAATTGCCTATTGAAAAGAAATCTGTTTGTGATTGTGGAGAACATGATCGGTGACTTGGAAAAAAAAAAATCAATTTTACGTTGGATCTCTGGTTTGGTTCCTCTTCCTTTGCTTTTTCTTCATGCCCTTGTTAGATGTTATGCTTGTTCCACTCACATTCATTGGAAGCCTACTTCGCAAATTGATGTGAATGCAAAATAATGTTTGTGTTGCTAAGAAAATTAGCATTACGGGTAAACGATAAGATTATGGTCATACTCATCCCTCTTTATTCTATCTAAACGTGTAACGGAAAACCTAATACACATAAAATAAAAGATTTTACATCGCTGCATCTCTCCACCCCACATGACTGTCATACAGCCGATTCTCCATCATTAACAGCTTCCTTGCTTTGCATCATATTTGAGCCAATAGCTTCATTGTCATTAGCAGTGTATTGTTGAATCACCAACACCGATGCCGTGATGCGACTGTCTGATGAAGCCAAGATATTGCCAACAGGTCCCAACTCTGCATGCTCGTTATGGTTGTGTCCTGATACAATGGTTGACCGGGACATCCCATTTCCAACAACTAGAAGCTCATACTCTTGACTCTGCCCTACTGCTAGCACTCCCTCTTCGATGTTGCTCACAACCTTCTCTTCATACCGTATATTTCCATTCCATCTTTGTCGAAATTGTGATACTGCTGCTTCGTTCAGGTCCTGCTCTTGTTGCCCCACTGTCCCTATTTCGTTTTCATCCCTCATAAGCAATCTCACCAGAGTCACCCTGTTAGGTTGGGGCTCAGCCATTCTGCCACCAAGCGCCAAAGCTTCACGATCATTCGCTCCTCCAGTGAACAAAACGCCTATTCTCTCCTGTGTGGAGGTGGGTTCCAACACCTCTTCAGGCCTACTTCCAAATCCGCGGTCCACGAACACTGCCACCGAACATGGTGCACACCTGAGCACCATTTGATTCACATCTCTCCACGCATCGCCAATAGTCTCTATTGCCCCTTCCCCGTCCCCTGTCCACTGTTTGTGGAAGGGTAGGATGATCATTGCCACCCTTTTCTCCTCTGCTAAATGGCAGATGTCCTCATGCATCACAGGCAGTGCTGAGACGGCTGTCGAGTGGCAAATGGTGACTCCTTTAACTTGCCCATAAGCCTCAAATGCGGTTGCCACCTCATCACAGGAGGCACCACGACGGAACCGGTTGACGAAGGGCATTCCATTCTTTCTAGTCTTCTGAACCATGACGATAGAGGAGGATCGATCGGAAAGTTCAACAAGGCGCAAAACATAAAGCTTGAGTGGGGATTTCTTAGAGGTACGAATGGATTCAATAATGCTGATGAGTGAAGGTACATTGCTTGGTCCATGAACGCATGCCAGGATTCGAAGTTCATCCTTTGAGTTTTCAGCAGAAGGGAACGGTTGCTCCAATCGGCGTCGAGCCGGTGAATATACCCGACGCAAGGGTTTGTAGATGGCCAGGACCGCCGGTGTCGTTATGAAAGTGGTAAAAAGTGCCATGAGCACTAAAATTGCAAACATTTCGTCGTTTAGGACCTGTTTGGCAAAGAAAAAAAAAAGGAGAGAGAAAAAGGTTACCATCACCTTCGCGAATTATTTTCTCACTCAAAAGTCAAAAGCCAACCACGTAACACACGTTGGCCAAAAGAAAAAAAAAAAAAAACCACGTAAGCCAGATACAGTGGTAATTATCTCTTTTTTACATCGGTAAAGGGTTTTAAATTTGTAATCAGTATAAAATATAAGTAAAATTAGTTTTTTTTTTAGTTAAGATTTTATATAAAGTTAATTTTTATTGTATAATTTAAAATAAAAAATATTATTAAAAAAAGTGATATGTTTCTCTTTCATAAGTTAATATAACGAGTGAGGAATTTGTAAATGGTAAAAATCTATTTTTAGCCATTTACTTTATTATGTTTATAGATTTTAATTTCTCATTTTATATTATAACACTTTTAATTTCTTATCTATTAAAATTGAAAAATAACCCTCACTTTATAATATTTCATTAGTTCTGTTAACTGATTGTTAACTCTGTTAGTTGACTGTTAATTCTATTAGCTGAAAATAAGTTTTTGTCAATTAACAGTCAGTTAATAATCAACTAATAGAATTAACAATCAGTTAACAGAATAAGTTTATTAATTCTGTTAATAAACAGTCAGTTAACTCTATTAATTCTGTTAACTGATTATTAATTCTATTAGTTAAAAATAAGTTTTTACCAGTTAATAGTCAATTAATAGAGTTAACAGTCAACTAATAAAACTAACAAAATGTTATAAATAAGAGTTATTTTCTTTAATTCTAATGAATAATGAGTTAAAAGTGTCATAATATAAAATAAAGAGTTAAAACTTACAAATCTAACAAGATAAAAGGTTAAAACTAGGTTTTTGCCATTTGTAAATACTCTATCTATTTTGAATTATAAGTGGTGCAACTTTTTTTATAACTATCTATAGGCAAAGCTTTTATGATATGAATGGTAAGTATTATTTTTTATTCATAATTCTTGTTGTATACTTTTATTTGATAAAAAAAGGTAATTATTATTCATATAAGATATATTTGTAGCAACCTTTTAAGCTACTTGATTAAGGTGCATCTCTTCAATTCCCTTATCCCTAAAGATTGTGGATGACAATTCTTCATTCCATTCTCTGTGAATATGATTTGAGTAATCTAAATCTTTTTATGCATGATTAGCAATAAAAATACTTCACTATGCATCATAAAACGACAGCCTTAAGGGGATTCTAGGAGAGATTGTACTCTCACTTTAAAAAAAAAAAAAAAAAAAAAAAAAAAAAACAAAATCACACTAGTTATAAATAAGAATTTAAAATCTCAAAATATATGAATTAAAGTGTAAAGATATAATACATATTTACCTTAATTTCATTTTTCCTTTTACTTTTTACTTTTTTTTTTTTTATTTGTTTTGTCTCCAATGACATGACACTTTTTAGTCAACCTAATCCACTGACAAAAGAATTTTTTTTTTATCGTAATAATTATGTTTTGAATTAAATAGTTTAGAGAATTACATCATTCATGACTCGAAAAATATGAGTTGGATATTAACCTTACATCTAGCTGTACGTAAGTAATAGTTACCATGCATAATGGAACATAAATTAGTGGAAATGACAAGTGGAAAAATGAGTTGTAACTCACCTTCTTCTCCCTCCCAATGTTGAGGACAATAAGCTCCACCAATCCTTTCGTGTTCATCAACACCCCAAGTGCCAAAGATTCCCTCAACGGAATCATACTCATCATCGCCACCACAAACGTCCCAACAATCTTCCCCGTGCATGCCGTCGTTATGACAAGAACCAACAGCCCCCACGCCTCCGCCCCCTGGATTTTTGCCACATTCGTCTTTAATCCGCTCGACGCAAAGTAAAGAGGAAGAAGCAATCCGGTAACGAAATCTTCAATCCTCTTCATCACTCTCCCGGCGAACGCGCTGTCTTTTGGGATCGTAAGTCCGAACACGAAAGCGCCGAATATTGCATGGATTCCTATCAGGTCGGTCATGAACCCGGAGAGCATAACTCCGGCGAGAGTCAGACATATGTAAGTTTCGTCGACGAAGTCGTGGTCCGGCGAGCACCGACGGGCCATCCAATTCATGATGGGCTGGACCAGGATGAACATGAAAGCAACAAAGGCAAGACCGGATAATAAGACCCATATGGATATCAACGGGCTCCTGTGGGCCTCACCCGGCCCGTTACCAACTAAGGCGATCGCAAGAGCCAACAAGACCCAGGCAACGACGTCGTTTAATGCAGCCGCAGCCATGGCGGTCTGGCCCACCTGAGTGGTTAGCAGTTTGAGCTCTGCTAAAATGCGGGCGAGAACAGGGAAAGCCGTTATGGAGAGGGCCACTCCTATGAACATGAGATATTGGCTGTAAGTTGCTTGGTGGTCTCCGTGAACGGCTTTCCGGAGGAAAATGGAAACTCCGGCGCCAAAGAAAAATGGTAGAGATATTCCGGCGACCGCAATGCCAAGTGCCTTTTTGGTGCTTCGACGAATAGAGCTCAAATCAAGCTCAAGGCCGACGAGGAAGAGAAAGAAGAGAAGACCAATACTGGCGACGGATTCAAGAATCGGGGTACTCCATGAGGGGAAAACCAGGTGTAAGAACTCTTTGTTCCGGCCAAGAGCAGACGGTCCTAGCAAGATCCCGCCCTGAAAATACAAAAAAATCTCAAATGAAGAAAATGAGATAGCCAAAAGAGAAGATATGAATATGATCTATCAAGGTTTGCTAATTTAGGTACAACGAGTCATGCAGGCTGATCAAAAGGGAAAAAAAAAAAAAAAACCCAAAGAGTCATGCAAATGTTATTATCATGGTTATAGGTTCAAATCCTTCTATTGACATATTTTTTAGAAAAAAATAATAATTTGGGTAGTTGACAGGTTTGTTTGGTATATATGAACAGAACGATTTGTAAGCACACGAGTTACATATTCAAATAACATATGGGCGCGGTTTGGCTATTGGTTTGTTTCGTTCTTTGGAGAAATTATAATATTCACATACTACTATCTCGGCGATAACTTTGGGTTGGCGTAAGGGCTTGAGAAGGAAGGTGAGGAGGCGACTGGTGAAGAGGACTAAGGTGGACTGAATTATGAGCAAGGGAAAGGCGTAGTTGAGGGGATTATCCCCTTGCCAGGCGCCATCCGAGGATGTTTCGATTGAGGTAATATTGGGCTGCATGAATGGCAATTTTTTGTGAAAAATTTTTGTTGAGTATACTACTAGCTAGCAAGGAGTTCAATTCTGGGTTTTATAGAGATGAATAAGAAGGAAAAAGACAATTCAAGCACCATCTGTAAGGGTAAAGCAAAGCTCAAAGCAGGGTGTATGACAGTTACAATAGGAATGCCCTTACTCGATCACCTATCCTTACCTAATCCTCCGTCTCTAAAAAACCTACTCTGTTAGAACACGTCATGCTCATTTAATGCGGTTTGCTTGGTTAATCCACGTTACGTTTACCTAAGACGTTTGCTTCGTCAGACAAATCATATCATGATTACTAGGTTAAGCGAGCCACGTGAATACTTTGTCAACGTATACAAATACTTCCATGAACTACTAAAAAAAGGTAAGATAAGAAATCAATCAAGGAACTCTTTCATACTTTCTTAATCTAAGAGAGCATAGCCCAAATTATTACTAACTTAATCTCGGGGCTTTGCAGGTTAACTTGAAGAGAAGGTTGTAGCAAAGGAGATCTTGAAGGATTTATGCATCAACACCATCAGTTACTTGGTGTGATAATATATAGAATTATTTGCATAAAGTTCAATTTTTAGTTTCTATTATAATAATAATAATAATAATAATAATAAAACAATGTTAAAGCAAATTAGTGTTCGGCCCATTAATTAAAGTGAGTGCACTTTAATTGGAATTGCTGGCATGTTTGGAACTTGAATTTAATTAGAATGTATTTGAATTTTGAGCTCTTAATTTAAATATATTATTTATTTTTACTTAAATGTAATATATTTGAATTTCATGTATATATATATATTTGAAACATTGTATTTCAAAGTTAAAATTATATGTATTTCAAATACATCCTCTAACTCATGGATTTCAATTTTAAATTATTATATTTCATCAAAATAATTCAAAGAGGGTTTAATTTGACAGGAAATTCAATTTTAAATACATTATATTTTAATATATCCAAATAATATATTTAAATATATATGTATTTAGAATTCATTTTTTAAAAATTAATTCAAACAATGTATTTTGAAATATATATTTAAAATTTATGTATTTTAAATATATACATGTATTTTAAATATATACATGTATTTTAAATATATACATGTATTTTACCAATGACTTGTTGGACTAAGTGGAAAGAGCTCAATTTCCTTAAGTAAGGTTTCGAGTTTGAGTCTTGTGAATGAAGAAACAGATATTAAGAGAGCTTCCCTCCTTGTAAGGTCCAACACGACTCAATTCCAAATTAGTCAGGATTCAATGTAATTACTGAATATCGAAAGGCTAATACTAAAAAAATACATGTATTTTAAATACACACATCAAATATAAATATGTGTTTTCAAACACAACCATTATGAATAAGGTCACCATCCATATAGCCAAACTTCTATTTGAGGATTCCACTATAAAACCCAATGTCTTTTAATGTTGGAATAGGAAAATGATTAGTACACCCTCCAGTTCAAAACACTTTACACACACTCATTAAGAAACAATTATTTTCAAATTTGAATTAATAGCAGGACAATTTCCAAAGGCAAATTTTAATGATTAAACTGAAGTGTGTTGTATAGTATGTTGAATCAGAGAGTGTACTAATTATTGTCCGTTTGAATATTATACAGTTGTTGGGTTTACTACCATACGTGATATGATCGATTATCCAAATAAGGTGTGTATATATTTGTGAAGGATAATAAACTCCATAAATTACTCTTAATTTAAATTAAGGTTAAACTTCCAAATCCACCTCTAAAATAAAAGAGTAAGAATAGGTTTGTCCTTAAAAAAAATAGAAATAAGTTGTCTTTTCAAATTATTAACCAAAACAAATCATCTATTATAACGTATAACATCATAACACATAAGTTTTTCATTAAAAACATGCTTGGTGACAAACAGATATCTAACATGTGTTGACATCACATATTAAATAATGAGTTATTTGTTTTAACTAATAATTTAAAGGGATCATTTGTCCCTACTTTTTTATGGACAAATCTATACTTATTCTCTTATTTAAGGGTAGATTTAGGGGTTTTGACTTAAATTAAGGAATGTGTAAGCATGTACTAAAGGGAGAATCCCACTTGTTAAATACTATATGTTGACGTAACATGTTAGATAATAGAATGAATAGTATACACTTATTGTCAATTGGTATCATGTTAAATTTTGGTCTTGCTTCATTTTTTTTTTTTTAATGATTAGAGTGTATTTGGGTAAGTTTTTATTAATTATTTTTTGAACAATTTTAAGTGTACATCCCTTATATTGATTTTGTGCATTCAAAAAAATTAATTTCTTTAAGTGTGGACCTTAAAAGATATACTTTAAATCTAACTTATAAGATAATATTCAATATAAGGGTTTTCTCCTCTTGTACTGGACCTTCCCATCAGCTTGATTGTGCTCCCCACATTTTCATTTGGGAGGTTTGGAATTCTAGCGAATATGGCATATGGCTGCTATATATATATATATCTTCCCTTTTTTTATTCTTCATTTTTTAAAAAAAAATTTTGAGTTGCACGATAAAAGACAATTATTTTTATCCCTTAACTCATCCTCCTTACATATTATGTGATTTAAATTTAAAACATCTTATTTTTATTGAAGTAAATTACCACTTAATTATGAGTTCGATGGCAATAGAAGGTCTAAATCAACTCTCTCTCTATATATATTAGTAATTGACAACATAAACTATATATTTTATCACCATAAACTTGCCTTTTGCCATTTCTATTTAATCGCCTCTTAATTAATCAAATCTTAACACCTGGCTCTTGAACTAATTGAAAGAGTGATTTTAGGATGATATTATATTATATTGATATATAAGTTGTTAGAAGAATCAATCATATTAGTAGTGGATTGTAGGCGTGAGCATTTTCAAGTATAGGTTAGGTATGACTGATACTAGGTATTTTATTTTGAAAATTTTTTGGTATAATTTGTTAAATTTTTTATTTAATTACTTGAAAACTTATACATATGATATTTAATCTAATGGGTACTAGACAACTTGGAAGGATATTTATGTATTTGTTAAAATATTTCTCCAAATTACCATTTAAATTAAAATACTTTTTATGTAGCAAATTAAAATATAATTAACTAAGTAAAACCATATTAAAAAAATTCAAACTAAATCACCTACTCAACCAAGTAGCAATACAAAATCATAAATAAATTTAAGTAAATTATAAAGGGAAAGGAAGAAAGCAAAATCCCTTCTCAAACATAAATAGGTTAAAATGTCAATTTGGTCTCTCAATTTTTTTATTTGTACTAAAATTGTCCCTAAACTTTAATTTTTGGTGCAAAATAATCTTCAAACTTTGAAGATAATACCAATTTAGTCCTTAAACTTTGAAAACAAATGCCATCTTAGTCACTAAACTTTGATTATAAATACTAATTTGGTTTTTCTACTTTGATTATATATAAATTTGATATAAAAATAAAAATATGTTATGGTAGCAAAATATGATTATTTGATTTTACACGTCATTAATATTAAAAAAAAATGATTTTGTGACAAAATAACGAATTACGTGATATTTTTGTTAACGAAAGAACTTTTTTAGTATTAAAAATTAAAATTCAAGAACAATTTTGATGCTTTTTCAAGTTAAAGGATAATTTTGATATAAATTTAAAAGTTGAGGGAACAAATTAATATTTTAACCACATAAATAAAAAGAATCATCAAATTATACCTAAAAATTTAGAAAGATAATATCTTAAATTAAATATTTCCCTCCCAACCTTACTAAATTCAAATCAAAACTCAACAAGAATCAATTTTACAATAAACAATGATAAGTAAGAAAGAGATGACTACAATAATTTTTTTTAAAAAATAATTATTATAATATGGATATTAGTTTAGTTTTATATTGTTAAAAAGTCAGGTAATATATTCAGGCTAGAAATTGGTTAAACAAATTAGGTCCCCATGTTAAGTAAACAGTTTTCAACCGCCATACTTAGTACTTGATTTGATATATTTAATATTTACTAGTATTTTATTTGAAATTAATATGTATCGGCTGGATTTTGAAAAACAATTATA